GTCGCCGCCTAGCCCTCAAGCTTACATATTCTACTCTCATAGATCACTAACAAAAAGAGCATGTTTTCTTTTTGTAAACTTATGTTTTGAAATCAAAAAAAAAATACTAATTTCTGTAGTGTTTAATATTTATGTAGTTACTTTTTGTAGGAGTGTATTGAAGTTAGGTGAGGACAGTATCAAGACGTGTGATAGCAAATAAAACAACAAAACTAAATCAATTGGGATTTAATCAATGAACAATATTTACACAATAAAATGAAACAAGTTCGATCTTGCGAATGTGGGCCTTATAACTGGCGCACAGGGGCGACAGTGGCGCGCGGGGGCCGGGTCTCAGTGTGGCCCTCCTGTAGTCGAATGTAAAGTGCGTGGGGTCGCCAGATGCCACCCGACTTCTGCCAGCGTCCGTCGTTCCTATTAGTGTTTCTAAAGACACTTACTTCCTAAATTCATTGCTCGACATTTGTCACAAACATTTCTATAACATAAGCGATTAATTTGAAATTATTTTTATTATTAATTTTGTTACGTTGTACGAAATACGGAGATGTCAATACTTTATAGCAATTATATAATGTTAAATGAACTTAAATTACTAACTTTTAGCAATAATTTGTGAAATAAACCACAAAATGTCGAAACTACTCTTTCGCTCTATTCGCTCCTTTTTTATACCAAAATGTAACATATAAAAGAAGTAACAATTTGGTATCTTTGGAATTAGTACTGAAGCGTATTTATTTTTATGCTCCACAATAACATCAGATTAAATATATGTTTGATCTGTAAATACTATTATATTCATTACTTTAACCATTACTTCTTAAATATTATTTACAGCAGACGATGTTGTAATGGTGTACTTTTATTAATAAAACCAGTTCACCATAACTTACAAATAATATATTACATCTTTTGGTAAAAAAAGATATATGTGTAACTTTGAAAATTTGTCGAAAATATAATTGTACAATGTTAAATTGGTAGTTTAGTACGGACAGTGCGCCGTGCCGCCCCCCGCCCCCCGC